AATGCAAATTGTGATGACCAGGCTGACCACTACATCAACACACACACACATACTTGCACACACACACACTTTCACACACAAATACAGAAGACAATATGTGTGACCAAATTAGAAGATTTTGTCCCCTTAGTCACAAAAATAATACATTACAATAAAGAAGAGAATAGCCATATACAGGCCAACACACACACACGTATTCCCAAAACCACTTTGCTCTTTAACATCCTTAATAACAGATTGATGCACGTCACGCTCAAAAACACACACTCCACTCTGCCCGTCGCTCCTGAATACTCCTCAACAACTTCTCTCGCTACCTCAGCAAACAAAGAGAGAGGCACAAACCTAGAAAGCAGGTCTGCTTGGTGACTTGAAGCCACCCTTCATAACCACGCACTCCCTCGCCCACCAACAGATCTCATACACTCCCACCTGTAAACGCTGGTCCATTAAACCACAGGTTATTGCTGGCATGAAGGAGGAACAAGAGGAGAGGAATAGGCTGCCTAGCATCCAGGATGCAAAAACTTGACACTCCAGATAAACACAGACTTAAAAGGATGCTGATGAAGAACATGGATTAAGTACATTAAATATGTGAGATAACAGAGGGACCTACTTGGACCTAAACTATCTCTCTGTTCATTGTTCTGTTAGTGAGATTGTTTTGTGACAGACTGAAGCTACTGCTGTCGACTTAACCTGCACAATTAGCCATAAGTGACAAACATGTGGAATAGCTACATACGTCCTGTTTTAGGTCAAATGTATCAAAGCATTTCCTTTAACTCTCAGCTCTTTGTCTTTTCTTTTCCATTCCTGTTGTATTACAGCAAATCCAAAGGCTTTCTTTCTTTCTTTGCTTTTTAAAGACCAACATATTTGACCTGTAACAGAAGTAAAAACAAAGTCCAGTGGTTGAAGGTGTAAATAGGGCTCTAGCAATTGCAGTGCAATAATTATCCACATCGGAAATGAAGAAAAACAAAGCTTTGTATTTAAATGTCTGAAATACACCAAATATATTTAAGTTGTAGTTTCTACATATTTAAGAAAATACAGACATTAATTTATTTTGTTAGTCTTTCTGTTGTCTTTTTTCTGCTTTGTGTGTATCCAAATCTGTGCTTCAATGGCTTGGGGAGTCCTCCTTATATCAGCTGTTAAAACACAAAGTCATGTGATCAGACTGATTCAACCCTGGACTAAATACATGGAGCTATTTCCATAAACAGGACTTGTTCACATACTGAGCATGAGTCCAGTATTGCTGTGTGGCTGTTTTGTGCAGGTTTTGTCCTGAAAGGTAGACTTTGCCTATATTAGGGTGTGTATATTCTTTTAAATTATATAAATTTGAGTGAAGTGGCAAAAGCACCTGATCAGTGAGGAGTTCATCTGGTGCTAAAAGGGATGTTCTACAAGTTGAGGGAATACTGAATGATCCAAAGATTCAAAGGCGGGAGCAGGAACATTTGAACTGGAAGGAGTGCATCAACATTGGAGCAGTAGAAGAAGAGAAGACAACATGCTTTGTCATCAATGTTATTGTCTGTTGTTTGCAGTAGATGTTCTCTGAGGTTGTAGCAGCATGAATGAGCATCATCAACCACAAGCAGAGCACTGTGCCTTACTGTGAGTTCACCTCCCAGGTTCACAGGCCCTGGCCCACACGCTTCCTTTTTGGACTTCATCTTTCACTCTCTGTTGGTGTCCGTCTTCCATGACCTAATTTTGTCTGTCTCCGAATTACCTGACATACTAGTCATGCAAATCTGGCGCGGATCACAGGAGCTCCAAATATTTTCCTGAAAATTGTCTGAGAACTATTCACGGCAGCCACTGGACTGGCATCTTTATCCTGCCAGGTGCAGGAAGGGTTTGTTTTTGTCATTGGGCAGGGGTCCAATTTCCCAAGGCTGCTGTGATAGCAATTCCAATGACCAACCTATACTTCTTGTTTTTAAACTCTTCTGTTCTTTTAGTCCTAATTGTAACTTTAACATGTCTGCTAACAGTTTTATTTGCTTTGTATTTCTTTCTTGGGTTGTCATATAGTATTTTACCCAAGTTTCTGTTTGCTCAGCACTTTTATTTTAAGCCTTTATTGTACTTTCTGCCAACCGGCCCATTCCTTTCCCTTCATCTCTTCCCCGTTCTCCTCTCCCTCCAATCCCATCCGTTTCTCTCGGGTACTCATTTCCTGCTTCGTGTTATTACTGATTCAGACATTTGTTCAAAACAAAAAATCTGAATACATCTCACATATTTCCTAAGTTCCTAATTGCAACTTGATGGTTTTATGTAGTTGACTTTTAAGATGGTTCAGAAGGTCTCGTAACATGACGTTCCAAACAAACGCTCAAAACCTTTTTCAAATATTGTTTACCAAAGTGTGTTGTTTGTAGTCTGCCATTACCCTGTTTGTGTGTGTGTGTTTTTGTTTTTCTTCTTACATTGCAACTGATCACATCCTAAGTTGCCTACAATACAGCAAGTTATCTTTTTCAGCAGTTTATGTTTAAACATCTTTTCTTGATTTATGCATTGCACTGATTGACGCAGTTGACTTTGATGGCTGCAGTCTGCTGACAGTGACCATCAAAGTTGCTCTCAAGTGTGATTTCCCTGTTTTGGGGGAATAAAACAACAAAAACAAAGCCGTTCGACAGATTTGTTGCTGCTTCCTCCGTCTCTCTCATTAACTTGTATTTATTCTTTAATGATGAGTGTGAAATGTTCTCATGAATGTATGAAAAAGAAAATAAGTGATGGTGATCATGTTCGGTAAAGTCTGATTTGTAAATCCAAAGGGAACTCAGTTTGGCTGTTATGATGCTTCTACCTGAGGGGTTGCATTCATCGACCCTGACCACCAGGGGGCGTGTGATTAAACAGTCTCACAATGAGCACTCTGAAGAGGATGTTTCCATTATTTTTAATGAGTTAAATTATTATTTTTGAACAACTGTTAATTGAACTTTGATTGTTTTACTGCTACATCTGTTTGCTTTTGTGTTGTTTGTGTGAAATCATAGCTTTTTTGTGGTTTTGATATAAGAAAAGAGGATTCATGCATTTTGAAAGACAATCGAATGGCTTTTTGTTTTTTCTCTTAGCAGGATCTGCCGGGGGGGGGGGGTTGGTTCAGGGAAACACTTGATTTTTTTTGCATCTACTCAGAGCTCTTTGTTTTGTGATGTCTGAGAGAATAAATATTGAGTCAGAAACTACACTATACAAACTAGGCATGGTCATGATCACGCATGATAATTTGTTTAAGAAGTTTAAAACTGATTCAGATCTTTCATTTAGCATGTCATTAAAATGACTCTGAGGAACCAAGTTCCCATACCATCTGAATACATTTACATTATCGTTGTACGGTTTGGATTTAACACGAGTCCCTAACACACTCACACATGGAGATCGGTGTGACCATTCAGCTTCTCTCATACTAAGAAATCAACAAAACTTCTGAAATGGTCAAATTTGGTGAGGAAAGCCTCAAAGGCTTCAAGCTGTCACCAGTCTTCCCAGCTCATAATGAGATCGGTCAATGTATGTCGCTTCAAATACAAGTGACGAGTCACCTCTTAAGGCACAGTTAAGTTAAACTGAGTGGTGATCACGCAGCCTGGCTGCTTTATGTATAACACATCTTTTTGTGTTGCACTTTTCTTTGTTCCTCCCTGTCGTGGTTCAAACATGTCTGCCTACATGTGTGGAAAAGGATTAGTTGTTTGTTTTTAATTCAGTATATATAATTTTATTGTCTCACTCCATAGACAGCAGTTCTGTGCAGAGTGCGTAGAGGAGGTCTGTGAGGTGTGCTGTGTGTGTGACACACTGATGTCCCCTTGTCCACTGAAGGCTCGTTGTATACATCATGCATCTCAAGAAAATGAGATAAAAGCAGAGCTGCAAATGGAAAAATCATCATTATTAATAAAAAAATATTTAAACTCTTCACTGGACTCTGATTGCAATGACACTTTTTTTTTCTTCTGATGATGCAGACTGTCGAGTTTGAATTCTGATAGTGAGACAGGCTCCTCTTAATGGCTGTACCAAATATCGGGCTAAGCAGGTCATTTTAGATCAAGGTGTGTCCTAAAAAAGGAATGTGAAGGTAACTTTAATGTAATAAACTATTAAACTGATTTCAAAGAGAGATTTTAAGCAAAATATTATTTCTTTTCCACATGCATGTATTCATCAAAGCACTGCAAAAACTTGTACATGTTGATATTTTCTAGAGAGGTGCACCTTGTTTACTAAAGCTTCACAATGCTGATTCAAATGAATGTCTTGGTCCCTGCAGATTTTGCTGAATTTTGTTTTGTTTTGTTTTGTTTGTTTGTTTTTAAGATAGTTTATGACTCTGCCTCAGATTTGTACAGGAAACGTGCACTAATTTAGACCCAGGACAAATCTTTTTAGACGTGACCTGTCACCTGTTGAGCGTGCACCACAAACACATCTGGTGTAATTGTGTCCTACATTTAACATTTAAATCCACAACTCATACTGTCCATTTTCCATGTTATTTTAGCTGTTGAAATTTGTTTGTTTTTGTTAACCTCTGTTTTTCAAAGATATATGGAAAAACAAGGTGACACCAGTAAATCTCTAAAGCAGAGGCTCTTTGGGAGAAACTGCTTTCTGTTCCTATTTCCTAAGGACATCTTAAGACCCAAATTCCACAAGCCGGCTGGTGAAGGTGTTTCAAAATCTGAGAAACTCCTCTAACAGAAAGGTATGAACAGCTTTCTTGTAGGGACATGCGTGATATTTATGACTGACCCTGCTGTTGCGCAAACTTGTCCTTTTAAATGCGAATATCAGTTAAGCTGGAGGCAGCAGCCAACACAGCGGTACTCCATGGAAAAATGAACCATCAGAGCTGAGAAACAGGTTACTGGTCTCTCGACTTGTTTTTCCTCATGTGTCTTTCAGTGCGGGACAGGGAGTTGTGAAATCATGTGAAGTCTTTGCTTTTGAGGACAGCTCATGAATCGCAGCTGATTCTGGTAAACCACAAGCTGAACCTATAAAGCGTTTAAGTCCGTGGCTGTTTTCAGACTTGCACATTTCCAACACTTGGCTACTGTTCCTTGAACCTTGGCGATGATTGGCTGACAACCAGGTGGGTGGATCAGCAGGGGGGGGAAAGTAAACATCACCCCAGGCTTTGCCACTCTGTACCTCTCTTTGGCTGCACAGTTCACTTTTGGCTCAGGTCAGACACCAGCTCACCTCGCGGCTTCTCTTCCTCAGCCATGACGATGACTGTTGCCATGGTGATGCTGTGCATGATGATGGTACATGCAAATGTGAAGCCGCAGAAAGATTTTAGCCTGCAGAAGGTAGGATGGAGGGTGTTTGGTTTTTAAGCTTTTTTCTTTTTCTATATTTTTTTATGTTTCAAACCACGTTTATTCGTTTTGTTAAGAACGGGGTTCCTTTAAAAGGAGAACAGCTGTTCGTTGTTTGTTACATGACGCCACCTACTGTCTGCTGGTGGTTTTATGTGTGCGCACAGTTTGCGATGAGTTGCTACCTTACAATAAACAAGATTAATGCACAAGTAAATCGTTTGCTGGTTTGATGGACTGTGTGAGGTTAACTTTCTTTGGCATATGTGCCACAAGAAATGTGTTTGACTGGCTATGAAGTGGGATTGTCCCGCACTTACTTCTTCTTAGCCATATTATGCCTGTAAGCCTTTTAACGTTTTATTCTTTATTTTAAAAGTAAAATGTTTATTTGACACAAAGTAGAGCTGATTTTATTTTCCCCGCCAGGATTTTTTTAAATGTAGGCTATTGTCTGTTATATAAGAGTAAAAGTTAACACTTTCCCAATATAATTATAATCATTGACATTAAGTCAAGTAAACACCGTTTTACATGAGGAAAAATGAAAGTGGCTCATCGGTTTTGATGTACATCGAACATTTGAGATAGGTAAGGATGCCCTGCTTTACACAAGTGCTTGCAACAGGGTACACATTACAGCCTATGATAAAATAAATATGTGAGCCAAACCATTTCACTTCAAGATGTGCTCTTTCATTCCGATCAACACAAGCACTGTAGTTTATTTTGAGTCAATCCCACATACCCCACCTTGCTTCCTTAAATACTTAGTGCACCAATTACCCGACTAAAAATACTCCCAACACATTATTTGTGCCTTAAAATACAGAACCTCATTGTTTCAGGGAAATACTTCTTCCTCTTTATTTAAATAAAGAGCCCTGCATTTAACCATTTAACCAAATGGTTAAATGCACGTGCATTTAACCATTTGGTTTATGTCACCCAGTGCGTCTGGGACTGTGACAGACAGGTCACATGTAGCCTGTGCATGACTGCTCAGAAGTTCCAATAAACTGTGTCCTGTTTTTGTTTGTTTTGTGTGTGTTTAGTTTGCAGGAAAATGGTATCGCGTGGGGGTCGCCTATGACTCTCCGCGTTTCGTCCCATTCCGAAGAATAATTAAGGCCTCCATGGGCACCATCACGCCGCTGCCAAACGGCAATGCTAATCTCACAATGTGGGAGGCAACGTGAGTCTGTTTTTGCAGGGGTGACACATTTGATCACTGTTGACATATGTGGACACGCAGGGACATGCCGCTCAGTCTGTGTGAGAAAAGACTGTGGCAGAGCTTTTTTAAACTCTATTATGGGGCAAAGTCAGGACACTTTTTAAGATCTTTTAATTAAATTTGACTTGTTATTGTGTCCATGCCCTTTATGTGCTCCAGTAACCTTTGTAATTTACACAATATGCTCTCACAGTTATTTAAGATGGTTGAGTGGCAAACTTGCATACAACAATAATACATATTGGGCTTTATTGAATTAATAACATCAAAGCTATCATATGTGTGCTAGTCAAGGAAAAGAGTTAAACAGAGAGGAGTAAGAAAGTGACACTTGTGGATAAACACTTATTTTTCTTTGCTTTTTTCAGATCCTTTGGTTGTGTAATCAAAAAGTACCAGTATGAGAGGGCGAGTGTACCTGGACAGTTCACCTACTTCAGTGCACGTGAGTCTTTTTCTAAAGACAACTGACTTTTTCCATCATAGAATAAAAACTTGACTGGTGCTCACAGCATGAGTTGACATTCAGGATCAGCAACATGTCATGAGCAAAAAAACCACAGTGATCACAAGGATGAAGCTGTGCAGTCCAGGCACATGTGACAAAGTAATGACATAAGACTGAGAACAGGAAATAAGAGCAGAATACACACCCAAATATATTTGGGGGATTTTTCTTTTTTACTTTTATTATTTTTTACAGTTACGGTTTTCATGTGACATGTAAGTATTTTTTATTGTTTATATAGCATGCTGTCTAAATAACAAAATGTATATTATTAAATGCAGTAATTTAAAATTTTTACAGTGGTATAATTATGATTATGTTAGAATTGTATTGTAATGAACATTTAAATGAATGTAAATTGTTCAATAATGTATAAAATTTTCATTACAATTTTGAGAATATTTTAAGTAGGTTTAAGTTTTCATGCGACACTTAAGTATTTTTTATTATTTATATAAGTCTGCTGTCTAAATAACAAAATGTACATTATTAAATTTAATAATTTAGAATTAAATCTTAATCGAATTAAGATTCATTAACATCCAGTAAGTCAATACAAAAATTACATATCTTGTAAATTAATTTTATCTTCTACCAAATGCAATTGGGGGGGTTTTACGTTCATGTTTTTTTCTTTTTCTTTTTGTTTTTTGTTTTTAGCTTTTTGCATTTTAAGTAACCTATACAGGCCTAATAGAAAAATCATATACATCCCATTTGGGTTTAGTACAGGCAATTCTGTTTCATCCAGATTTAATGTATTGGTCTATTTATTCATTTATTTAATCTGCCTATCAATTTGCTTTTAAATGTTCAACTAGCAGGGGTGCTAAAATCTCGCTTCTGTGTCACGATTTCTCTCAGGCCATAACATGGTGAAGGACATCACTGTGGTGGAAACAAACTACACTGACTACGCCATGGTCCTTAAGCACAAGGTTTTCAACAGAGAGTACACACAGGTGGCACTTTATGGTGAGACACGCTCACAGATGCGTCTGAACATGCAGGCCACTGCAATTCTGTCTTCTATACACCACATGTCTGTTTCTGTACTTGTCTGCAGCTCGCACTCTGAGCGTCAGGCCTGAAGTCGTACAGAAGTTTAAAACCTTTGCCTTGTCTCGCGGTTTACCAAGAGAGTCTATTCTGATTCCACCTCCAGCAGGTGAAGCAAGGGGGAACACGCCTCCATATATACACATAGTATATACACATCTGCGCGCATGTTGAAGAAAAATTGTCATAATTTTGGTCTGTATGTTTTCTGGTGAACAGAAAATTGCCCGCCATCAGGGTCTGGGCGTTAGGTAAGGCAATTTCTTTTTTTTTCTTTTTCTTTTTTTAAAGAAAAATATATATAAAAAACACAGGTGGTTATTTTAAATCTGCGTGTGCGAATGATTTCTGTCCAGCTAGTATAAAATCCTTTCTGTTCCCCCTTCTAGGTTCCCTGCTGTGCCTGAGATGAGGGTGGCATCACGTGTTCTTCGTGCTGTTCCAGCTGTGTGTCTGTGTCCAGTTTCTGACAGCATTTATGTATTATAAACTATTATTAAAAAAAACTTCAGCAAACATGATGCTGACTGCAAATGGCACAAGAAGCAGATATTGCTGATTACATTTATCCTATAGATCAACCTTGATTATGAAGCGTTTTCCATTATTTTCACAGTTCACATAGTTAAATAAACATTGACCTCCAGACTTTTATTAATCTAATTTGAGGGTGGGTTTTTTTTGTCTTATTATGGTTACATGTAAAATATGTTAGTATGTAATTCTGTGTTTTACTGGGATCTATATGTTCATCGCCTGACAGTTACCTCTACCAGCTATAATATTGGCGATACAGTCATCATATATCAATAAATATATTTCTGATCAGCTGCATTTTTCTTGAATTAAGAAATTTTACCTGCATATGCACAAACACTTTCTCTTGCATAAAGTGTTGCTGCAGAGGTTCACACTGAAAAGACAAATGTAAATAAAAGTTGGCTGCTTCATCGACTGCCCTGAGCCATATCAGCTGTGCTCTTTCACACTGTTGACATAATTAAATAAATATTCAGCCTGGACATAATAAATAAATCTCTGAGTAGATTATCTACAGTTTCTACTGCATTTGTGGCACAAAACAAGTGGTCTAAAGGTCACTGAAAGGAAGTTTTTTCCCTCAGTGAACACCAGGTGGCACATACACACCAGTATGTGACATACAGTTTATGATGCAGATATCATGATACCATGAGAAATAAGATTAAATGAGCTGTATGTTGAAGGGACACTTCTGTCTGTGGTAACATCAAAAAGTCTCTGTAGCTGATACTAATGCTACATTTCCCCACAATCTGTTAATTACTAACGTATATTGATCAGTTGTTTGTTTTAGCTTCAAACTCTGAAGTCCAGCAATTCATTTCTGATTATTTGGACCAAAGGACACACAGTGACATGCACACACCTCTGTGCACAGACACACTGATCGTCAGAACTTTGCGCGTTAAGTTGTGTCTTTTCTTGCTTCTTTTGGTCGTGTTTTGAGAGGGGATTCACAAAAGCCACATACGCAGGGTGTCCGTTTGACCCAGAAAGGCAGCAGACAAAAGTTTCTGGGAGGTGACAGAAAGAGACAGGTTGGACAGGCAGGCTAACAAAATGCAGGGAGCGGTCAGGCCTGTGTCTGTGCTGGTAATGGGGTGGGCCCTCGTGACCTTCCAGGTATCTCCTGTGGAGCCAAAAAATCTTACCCTGACCCAGGAGAACTTTGATCTGGAGCAGGTGAGTGGATAAAATACTAAAAAATGAAATTTCTTTAGTTATTTCCCACCCCACCCAACAACAAAGTTTATCACTTCTTTTCATTCAATAATCTGAGGTTGTTTTTATTGCTGCACGTCAATCCACATGTTTTAATGTACAGTAATTATGAGTCTTGTCGCACCACGCCTTGACTTCAGCAATCTTGGCACAAATTCCTGAGAAACATCAGCTTATCCAGAAGTCAGCTAAACATGTCACACCCCTGCTGATTCATCCACAGTACACTGGCTCCCTGTGCTGCCATGAATTCACCCTAAAAACATGACTATTAACATTTGAAGTTCTTCACAGGCTCTGCCCTGCATATTTCACTGATCTCCTCCAAACTTAAACTTCCTGCAGTGTTCATCTGGGTGCCAGGTCCTTCTCTTATGCAATACCTAAACTTTACTCCCTCACATCTGCACACTCCTTGACAGAATTCAAAACTGCACTCATGACATTTTTAAGCTGTTCTGTTTTGTTTTGACTGGTCCATTTTATAATATTAGTATCTGTTCTGTTTTATGTTATGCCGTGTTCCTCGCAGTTTATGGGAAAGTGGTATGAGGTGGCAGTGGTGTCTACCTGCCCTCATTATATGCAGCGTAAGAGGCGAAACCCTGTCATTGTTGCACTTGAGCTGAAACATGTTGCATCTGAGGAGAACTTCACCATGACAGCCACTGCTTTCAGGTCAGATTCACCCACATGCTGTTTCTCATGCAGTGGATGAGTATGCTACACTCAATATAACCTTTCATGTGTTTGTGTCTGCATATAGGAACAGCTTGTGTACGGAGACTTCAACAGATTACAGTTTGACGGACACTCCAGGGCGATTCTTCTACCACACTGCAAGTATGTTTTCTGCTTTCCTGCATATATAGTACATCCTTCCTGTGTCATGTCTACAATAAAAACATTCTCATGATGCTAAAATAATAGTCAGAAAACCTGATGCGTTAACACTTTATTTTCTACAGGGCTCGGGGCCGACGTTGATGCCTTTGTGGTTCATACCACCTATGATAAGTATGCTGTGATGCTTCTGCTGAGCACAGAGAAACCATCAGGAAATAAAACCACCATAGCCAAACTTTACAGTGAGTGACCACTGTTGGATCATCAGCCATTTTACCTTTGATTTATCAAGATATCTGTGTAGATTTTTTTTTAGCAGTGCATTTCTTTGTGTCCGAATTAAAACAAGGGTCAGGTACTTTAATTTATCAATCAATATTAATTATGAGTAAGCTAATAATAGACTTCATATTCCCAACACCTAATCTATTGTACTTAAAGCAGGTAAAACTTGCAAAGCTTCTGAGGCTATTGTATAAAATCTAATTGTCTCTATATCTGACTGTAATCTTGTTCAAATCATGAGATCTCACATTTAGCCTTTTAATTTGGAACGATTTAATGTTTTTCAATATAAAATTATAAAAACATAGAAATTTGTTGTTCTCACAGAGATTTTAGGAACTTTAAATGTGCTGATTCTAACACTGCCTTTCTGTTTCCTTCCAGTATTTAACAGAGTATGAACAGTCAGTGTTATAAAACACTAAAGAAAATCTGTCCTCTTCAGGTCGGACTGTGGAAGCAGGCCCCGCTGTGCTGGATCACTTTAAAACAGTGGTCAGAGAGCATGGAATGAGAGATGATGCTGTCATCATGAATCAGGACAAAGGTGCACACTCTCCCTGAGAACTATTGATGAGTTTACACTCGTCATCTCCATCTTTAACATTTTTTGCCCAGTATATTCACTATCCTCTGCACATGTCCAAATCATCTTTACATGCTGTTCAACCTGAGCGAACCTGATTTGTTGTAATATAACATCGTCTCCCCCCCCCAAGCAGAACAGATTTGCCCGCTGGGATAGCCATGTTTGACACCCTTACTGTTATTGATTTTTCCCTCCTGTTATTGAATATTATCTTCATGGTTGTGTTTTGCATGTTTAGTGTTTTCTATTACTAACTGCATTTTAGAAAGTCATCAACTCTAATCCTTCTGCCTTTACAGGTGAGTGTGTTCCAGGTGAAAAGATGACAGAGACACCTACTCAGGTGCATGCTTCACACTAACACACTAACATATAACACTGTAAAACCCAAGATTTATAACTATGTTAAAGTGATGAGTCTTTAATGCATTTTAATACCTTGTATGTCATTATTTCAGGTTATTGTTCCCAAAGGGTTAAATAGAAACGCCGTTCCACGTACGACACATCCCCAAGAAGAGTTCACTGTTACCATCTGACCCTATCCTTACCATCCTCCTCTGTCAGATAAATCCTCTGCATGTGCTCCTTCACTATATCCATGGATCTCCTCTTTCACTCCTGCCTGGCAGCTACACATTCAACATCCTTTGCCAAGTATATCCACTATACTTCCTTTGCTTATATCTAAACCGTCTCAGCCTTACCACTCTAACTTTATTTCTGAACTGCTCTACCTGAGCTGTCCCTCTGTGGTACACGTTTCTAATCCTTTCTATTCTGGTCAATCCCAATAAAAACCTGAGCATCTTCAGCTCTACCACCTTGAGCTCAACCTCAAGCTGGCAGACCTCGAGGTCTTTTTGTCAGTGCCACTGTCTCCAAACCAAACATCATACCAGGTATGACTACCAGCGTTTAAACCTTCCTTTTACTCTTGCTGCTGTCCATCTGTCACAAATCACCCACTCGACTTTGCCTCCACTCTCTTGTTAACTGTTGATATAAATAAAAATATGTAAATGTAAAAAAAATGCAATAAGGATGTTGTGTTTCTGTCAAATTTGAGCGTTTTAATAAATATATATTTGCTACAGGATCAAGTGTAAAACCTGAAGGATACGATCATCACAAGAAAACCAGATTCACTAAGTATATTTATTTAGACTGTTTTGATAGTGCCAGGCTCCCACAGTGAATACTACACGACAATGGTCTACTTTTATACATGAAATACTTTCTGTGTCAAAATTTCTTTTTGATGTGCACTTTGCAAATCTAAAGTTTATCTAAATTAATTTGGATTTTCAGACTACATAAAGGAATTTCAAGTTCTTATATCATACTGCAAAGACTTAATATACAGCTGGTACATAGTCCAAAATGCAAATTGTTTTTTATTGTGTGAAACAAGTTTAAATACAAAAAAAGGACTTTAACTTTTAAGGCCCTTTTAAAGCTGCACCACCTGCTATATATGGCATGGTGTGCTAATACTTTCTACAATTATTTATCATATGCATTTGGATGTGCAAGTTTAAGAGATGTGACAAATATTTATTTAAAGATAATATTTTATTGCCAATATTATTTCAAATAAAGCGACCATGCTATTTGAGAAAAAAAAGCACCAAACATATGGCAAGTGTAATAAAATATCTCATGTACAAATGTTTCCTGTATGTTTCACTGCCCCAAGGAATCATTTTCAAAATGGGCTGCACCGCTCCCCATCGGGACATGGAGGGAGAGAGCTGAAACAGAATCGTGCATGCATGTGGATACCTTGTAAATTTACTCCAACATCATGGTTTCACATTATAAAGTTACAATTTAGTAACTTTATAATGTTACAATTTACACATGTCTGAAATCATGCATCAGTCCAATCCAAGCCCTCAGAAATGTGATTCTGGCTGACCTACTATCCAGTCATATCTGGTCCTCTTTGCTCTCTAACCTGTCTGTGAATAATATTATAACATTTTTCAGGTTCCAGTGTGATCTTGAGCTGGGGTCCTGGTCTG